GAAAATGTAACTTCCCCAGGCTGGAGGTTCACCAAACACTGGCAAAACCACCCATAACGCCTGGAGGTGTGTTCCAAATCACTCACTGGACACGGACACAACCACCATCAACCACCCAAAAAAATGTAAGTTACATTTAGGCTCTTTTAGGGAAAGGGGTGGGGGGGCATAAATGTAAGTTACATTGTCTTTAAATGTAACTTCATCAACTGAGAAAATGTAATCTTACATGTTTGAGGTGGTTTCAATGGAAAGATGCAACTTACATTTTCCGAAGGCCCCCCCTACAACATGGTAGGAATTATATAATTATATATATATATTGTTTTTTAGTGTGATGTTTTTTTTAAAGGCTTAGCTGGCAGGAGGAAGGCAGGAAGGAAGGAAGGAAGGAAGGAAGAAAGCAGCAAGGAAGGCAGGAAGAAAGGAAGGCAGTTGCAAAACTTTGTCCAGATACCCAGCACAGAGACCATTGCAGTTATCAAAGGAAGATTCAGTGGGGAACTCCGTGACATTTGTTTTTTGGTCTTAGCCAAGTTACACTACCACAAACATCCACAAACCAACCAACTGTGCCATGGTTATGAACCAGTCAGACTGCTGTTTTTTTTTTTACTAGTGTGCATTGTAAAACTATCAAACTAACACAATTAGTCAAAACTAGTTGAACATCAATTAGAATTGACTAAAAACACATTAAACATACAAAAGACTAAAGCCCCCCCAAAAAATGCAACTAAAACAATTAATTACTACTAATTGAAAATCATTTAGAATCAAGTATATAGAAACCCTTTAAAGCTACAGAAGACTGGAGCCTCTAAAAACATATTCCACTTAAACTCACAAATATACCGCAAAAAATCCGCAACTGGGTAATTTTCCACTGTTCCATGATTATTTCAAGGAGTATGCTAACGAGGGGGCTGCCCGGGTCACCACCCGTCTCCGATGAACCTTGGAGGCACTTTGGGAAGCTCGTTTGCGAGAGCAGCGGGAGGTGAGCAGCGTGGCGCCAGGGTTGCTGCCGGATTTTTTGATTTTGAAGCCATGAAGTGAAGTAGGTGGTCGACCCTTATTCCTTATGTTTGATGCTTTTGGTGCTTGCTTTGTATTATTTAAGGGCTTACGCCCGACAGCGGGCCAGGGGTGTCAAGTCAGGGGGCTGGGGGGCGAAAGCCGCGGTCGTGGTTGTGGCTGTTGTTGTTGGTGATGGTGTTGTTGGCGGTGGGGCTGTGATTGTTGCTGTTGTCGTGCGCGTCAACAAAAATGACAAGCTGGGCCAAGATAGCGCCAAGATGGGCCAACATAGGCTCAACATGGGCCCAACATATCCCCAAGATGGGCCAAGATAACGCCAAGATGGGGCAACGCAGTGCCAGCATCGGCCAAACATCCGCCCACGATGCAGATGAAGCACACCGGTGCGGCACGCATTTCCAGCATTATTTGAGCCTATGTTGGGCTATGTTGACCCATCGTGAGCGGAAAAACAAACGTCAAACACCCAGGCTTTTCTGGGGCCCGGACCTGGGGGCGGCTACGCTTTCTGCTTCGCAGAAGGAGAGCTCCCCTGGAGGGACACGGCCCTGACGGGGCCCACGCCCCTGGCCGGATTGGGGGGGGCGTCCAATGTAGCTAGGTAGATCCCACGGAAAGAGTCAAAAGACTCCGACTCCAGCTTGCTGCATTGAGCTTAGTACTATTAATTCGCAGGTGGCTTACCAAGTGGTTCACCACGCAACTACACCGAGTGGAGAGACAGAGAGCACCTCCACTCAACATCGGCTAGGCCGGGCTGAAGAGTTGCTCTGAAAAGCTACGAGGCCCACTGACCCAGGGCGTCTTGCAGGCGGGGCAGTGGAAGAAGAGAGGTTTTTTGCAGCGCATGTCTAGCTCTTCAGCAGGTACATGACATACCATGACAACCTAGGTATGACAGAACATCTGGGCATTGAAAGTATTGGTTGCCCTTTCGAAAGGGCAAAGCTGGTACATGAATACGCATGCAACAAACCTTCGTAGGGCTGCGGCGGCTGATGCTCAGACCACGTTTCCACCGGGCGACCGCAGGCGATCTTGGCTACCATTTGCGTCTTCATGGAAGATCCGGTGCGCCCGGGGGCGAGTGACCGGTCGGACTGGAAAGAGGGAGGATGGTCGTATCCCTGAAGAGGATAAAACGATGCCAAAATATGCCCAATGATTTATTTGGGTCTTCATTTAGCACACCAATGGTGACAAGAAAGTCGTGGCAATATCTGTGGTTCATTGGAAGCTCAGGAGCTCATCATTGGTCGTACTGTACGACCCTTCAAAGTTGGCCAACCAGCACAGCTGCATGCAGGAAAGTTTCCAAGGTTCATTTGGTCGGCTTTCACGGCTAGAGTATGAAGTGTTTTTTGGAGCTGCTGAAGTGAAACCGAATGGTCCTTCGACGGCTTCAATTGCCATAGGAGCAGAGTACATGGTTCATAGCAATGGATGCGCTACAGCTTCCCACACCATCATAGAGATGATGAAAGATGAACAAAGGGGACACTGACCTTTGGTAAATACCATGTTCAGCTTCCATAACATAGCGTTGGGGGAACTACAACTGTGGGATACTTCAGTTCATGCACCAGGTGCGCTACAAGTTCCTTAACATTGTTCAGCCAGTGGTGGTTTGCATGCAGCGCCTTGGTGATGGTTGGGCTGGTCGGTCTGGGTGGGACTTCCGAGACACGTCCGAGGGTGAGACACGGTGGCTGGAGAAAGCTGAAGCAGGACCAACGTGAACGGGTTAAACATTTATTCAGGTGAATTACACCATCCATCCATCCATCCATCCAGCCTTTTGTTGCTTTCATATGTGATGGCTGGTTGCCTGGTGCAGATGTGTTTTTTCTGGAAATGTCGGGGCCCAACACTAGGGCACGAAGCAAGTAGACTCCAGGCTGCTTCAGAGCTGCTTCATTAAACCGTCATGGTCCCACTTCACAACTGAGAGCATTCCCCTGAAAGAAAGTTGTCACTACTCCACATCGAAGCGCAGGAACTTGAAAAGAAAAGATGTAAAACCTGTGGCCAATGAAGCTCAATCTACTGTCCAAGCTAGTTGGTCACTTTCATGCAAAAACAGCACTACTACTACTACTACTACTGCTACTACTACTGCTACTACTACTACTACCACTACTACTACTACTACTACTACTACTACTACTACTATCACGACGACTACTACTACTACTACCACTACTACTACTAAGTGTTGGAAAGGTGAGTAGCTCCCCGGTACTGTGTGGTAGTTTGCTGCCTCACAGCGGCAGGGAGCCGCGAGAGGGGGAGCCATGCCATGCAGCACACATGCACCACTTTGGACTTGATGCGATCGCCGATCCATTGCGCCTGAGGATGTTTCCAGGGCATGAGAAGATTCAGGCAGGCAAACGCAGATTGAAAGAACCACTCCCAGATGCTCCCCAAACAAAGGGTCCAAGGCACTCCTAGAGGGTCCGACCGGTCTCAGATGCCATTGGGTGAGAACAAATATCCATATACCATACACAGACACACTGATGCACAAGCACTGCCCCACCGTATACATATATAATCATATTGATACATATAAAGATATACACACAATACTACATTATACCTAATATGCACACCTGGTTGTGGATTCTAATAGAGCATCACAACAACTCGGCCCTGTTTGTTCTTGGGGTTGGATTTTTTTGCATCATTACATGGTTTTTTGTGACCTATCCTGAGTATTGTATACAGTGGTGACTGAGATGGGACGCTTCGCTGCTTCACCTTCCAACTCACTCATATTGAAACATGACTCAGACCTGTTACACCGTGGCTTTGAAGCAGAGGCCATTTTGAGCTTATGCGTTGAAGGAAGAACACCTGCGATGGGAGAACGTCCCCAGGTGGTGTGTTCAACACCTACTGTAAGTTTTGTTGAAGGGGCTGAGGAGAACTTGATTCCACAAAGTGTCATCAACAGGCCAAAGTTTGTCCAGGTGTTGCCGCACTGACACGGAACATGGGAACACTTAGACTACCTATTTGGGTCCAAACAGATGTGACTACCAGCTCCTTTTTGTCGACCCACCACCGAAGCTATGGCTTGACTTCCTATCAGACAGACTGCTTTTACAGGCCCGTGGGCTCTTTTCTTCCCGACATGGGATTTGCATGGGGATCTCCTGTTTTCGCCAGATGCCCTCGTGCCAAATCTTGCTGAGCCGCATGGCGGGAATTCCGTCGGACGATTCCGAGTCGGACGCTGCTTCGAAGATGTGCGTTGATTGCGCATCGACCCTTCTTTTAGCCTCCTAGAACTGTTTGTCTCAAGATGGTGTGGCCAGACATCCGAAAACGTGACTCCGAGCAAGCCCGTGGATGTAGATAAGCAGTAGGCAAAGAAGTGCCTTCTTGCAGGCTTGTGAGAAGACCACAGGAGATGCAAATGTTCCAGATGCGTTTTGGCACATCTTCTTACCCCTTTTGCATCTTTTGTTCAAACTATTTATATATCCCTACAGATTTAGCAATTTTGGGGAATTGGTTTCCCGACTAACCAAAAAGATAGGTGGGAAAAGGTTCACCTTTATTTTCCGGGGAACGGCTTGGGAGTCAGTGGTTCATCGTGTGTGTGTATTTTTCGTTTGGACCGTTTTTGTCCCACCTTTGGGCTGAAGCCAAGGCCTTACCAGCAATGATAGCCTCAGCAATGAACATGAGGACCGTTTTCATGCCCAGGGCAGGCGTCAGACAGGCTGTACTACAGCCGTTGTAGCTGAAAACCATGGCCTGACAGTCATCAGTCATCAAGATTTGATGATTTGATAAATGAAGCAAAGTTGAGGCTCCGGCTGGGCCGTTGGGCAGTGATCTAGGAAGATGTCCACATACCTTTATTCTGTTTCCTGTAAGAGAGATAGTGCATCTCACTGGTCATTCCAAAGTTAAAGAAGAAAGCATCTCTTGTCCGCGTATCGGTATGCCCCCCATTCCATCTTCCCCACGACATCGACGGTATGAAGCCGCGTATCGTTGTGCCGCGTGCTCGGACGGGTGGACGACAGGAGGCCATCACCAAGTTCGCCAAGTCCGGCGGCATCGGTGCGCGGCGAAAACGCGTCGAGACTTGGACCGACCGGGTCACACATGCGAGAGAGAGAGAGAGGAGGGGGAGAGAGAAGGGGGAGGGGGGTGATTGAGATGTTCAACATGTCCTGGGCCAGATGCGATATCATATTACAGTGTAGTGCCAGGACCTTCCATTTGAGGCCACCTAATGACCCAATTGACCAAATGCTTGCTTTCCATCGGACACTTCATGTTTGCAGGTCCAGAAGCAGTTTTGCATGTCCTGCTCCATCCAATGACTCCATTCTGGCGTATCGTCACAAGAAAGAGCCGGTTACAGCGATCAGCTCAGCGGCAGGTCCTTTGGTGCAGGCCATGAAGGACTTGCCCTGCCATGTGTCTCTTGGACGAACTCTTTTGGCGCCTTGTGATGTTTTTGCGCCCCTGTTTGGTGGGGCCGCTTGGGTTTGTACTGGACCATTTGGTCAATCTTGTTGGACAAACGGTCTGCGCCATCCCAAAGGATTGATCGAGCCGTTTGATGGGCATGTCTTCAAATCAACGACCCTTGAACTTCTGGGGAACTGATCGATGTAACGCCATGCAAGTGGTTACGTTTGCCACCAGGCTTGTGCAACGCTTGGCCATGGGTGTCTTGCGAAACTTCTTGTAGCTTGGCGGAAGGTGATGTGCGGAGAGGTGGCTGATGGGGATCAAGCAGATCGTTTTTTAGAGTTTGGGAATCATTTGGGGCCCACCACAAATATAGGACATTTGCAAGACATGTGCGAGTAATTATATAAGCATTACAGTATGAATCTATGCAGGACTTCCGGCAAGGTAGGGTTGGTGCGATGTCTATCCTCAAGTATCCCAAGACTTTATTGTATGATGTGATAAGATTTCGATCAGGATGGGGCCGGGGTGCAACTCCCAAAAGTAAGTAGCATCGGATTGCTTCAGAGTGTTTTGTGTCAATGTCCATGGTGGGGATGTGCGGTAGGTTTTCACTGCTCCGATCTCTATATACCATCCCATTCTGCCGGTCGTTTGTGCATGCACAACCCGAACCGCGTGGTTTCAAAGCATGCCTTTATATAATTCAACGACCTCATCTGGAGGGCGGGGCTCCGCAGGGAAAGTGGAACGTACACTGAAATTGACGGAACAACCAAACTCATCCTTACTTGTGCATGATGAAGTCAGTGGCATCCCATGGCCTACTAGGTACTACCTTTCCTGAGATATGCATGAGTTAAGTCACTGTACTGGACATAACTGGACGATCGTCAGCCTTTGGCGGACGAAAAATGGAGGGCTCCTACCTAGTTGCAGCATCACCCGTGACCTGACTTGTCCAAGAAACACTTTCTGCAGAGGTATTTGGACGCTTGGTTCATCCAGCCCAGCTCTACGAGGGTTCCCCGTTCCAAAAATTGGCTGTCGCTAGGACTGGGGGTGACATGAACAAGACCTCGGCCGCGCGTGCCGGAGCCATTCCAACCATCATTACAGCGCGGACCCCGAGTCTAGAGTTGGTGGGGTCGGGCTTCAATATTTGGATTGCCTTTCTCATTGTTTCCATGCTGCGAAGCTTGTAGCAGTGGCTCTTTCTTCCTTGCCTTTGCTTGCTTTTTCTGCCTGCTTCTTCTTCCGCTTGCGAAGCAGACGAAACATCCGTCTCCGCTTCCTTGCCTTGTGCGAAACCACGGGTGGAGTTTGGGAGTCGGTCGGAGCTTGGTGTAACCGAGCCAGGCCCCCTATTTCTTTGCCTCGAGCTGAACCGGGCCCATCGGCCTATGAAAAAGTTTGGCATCGGCGATTGAATCGTGGCAGAGACCATGTTGACACATAGCTTCTGCTGCCAGCCTGGCGAATGAATGCAGGCAGAGAATGAATGCCCCGCGAATTGAGTTACATATGTCACATGTTGTCCGGCGGGGCCACGGGGCCGCCCCTGAAATCAACGCCGTTCGATCTGGGTGGTTCATACCGACCGTTTGAGCCATCGCTCCCTTCAGTATTGGTGCATTCATATCGACGTGTGATGTAAGGTAATGGTATGTCATGGCATGCCGTGGTATGTAATGGTATGTGGTGTAATGTAATGTAATGACATGTATGATGTTATGTTATGTATTGTTATGTCATGCATATATTATACAATATTACATATACAATCATTTACATATGTATATTATATATACATCACACACACACATATATATATATATACACATGCTTATATCAATCATATCATCAAAACCATGGTGTTTCATTCTTGTTCATGGATGTTTCTCCGCTCCAAGGCCATGCAGCGCTTCAAAAACAACGTGTCGATCCAAGAGGAGGTTGGACCGGGTCGCAGTGGGTGGCTCATCTCAACTGGGCCCATCCTACACTCCCGAGCCGATTTCACCCGATTTCAGTGGGGATGATCGTTTGTTGACGGTCGTTTTCTGGCGAGTTGCACGCTCCCGTAAGGAAGACCATTTTCCGCATACTGAACAGGGAGTGAACTCCACTTGCATGTTAATTCCAGGGAGAGTAGATCTTGGACATGTCGTGTGGCGCCAGTCAATGAAAGCATTTCATTCTCATGATCACTCGCTGCCGAATCAATCGCCGTGGTGTTTTTTGCCACGATCACCACGTGGAGGCGATCATTTGCCTCACGAGCCTTTGCGACACTTTGGGTCGAGCCTCAGTGGCTGCCCGCCTAGGCCGATGGGCGGCTGACATGTGAGACTGCTGCTTAAGAGATCTTTTGGATTCTTTTGTATTATAATTATGAGAGCAAGTTTAAACTAGAGAGTTCAGACGTTTTGGAATCATTTTGAGTACCTATTATTATGTTTAAACAAAATCAACGTAAATGCAGTTGGGGGTCCGCTTTTTTCACTCTTTTCCTCCTCATGTTTTCTTCTTGTCGTCCTCCTCTTGTTCTCTTCTTGTCCTCCTGTTGTCCTCTTGCCGTCCTTCTGCTAAGTGGCCCGGCTGCTAGCCTGTCTCCAGTCATTGTCCTTTTGTTGTATTTTTGTTTGTCCTCTCCTTGCCCTCTTCTTGTCCTCCTGTTGTCCTTTTGTTGACACCAGCTTGGCCGCGGCTGCCAGCCAGTCTCCAGACCTTGTCCTCCTGTTGTCCGCTTTTTGTCCTTTGTTTTTTCCTCCTTTTGTTCTCTTCTTCTCTTGTTGTCCTCCTGTTGTCCCCTTCTTGTCCTTGTGCTGCTGGTGTCCAGATGACAGCATGGCAGCATGCCATCCGTGACACCAATCAAAGGCGTGCGCGTGCGAAGCACCAATCAAAGGGCAAAATGCGAGAAAGCACTTGCACACGCGCAAGCCTTGCCACCTGGTGAGACTAGTGGAAAAGCGCCAGCCGGCAAGCGCTAAGATCACAGTACCGCAGCATGGCCACGTGACAGCCTCTCAGCATGCAAACATGACAACCTGCAAGCACGCACTACAAAGCAGTAAGGCATAGTGAGGCACTAGCAAGACAACCACCAGGTTCCCGCCCTTCCATTTTGCTGACCCCAAAAATGATTCAAGCGGTGGGGCCCGTGTTGTATAATATAGGACAATGGTGGACAACTGTGGACAAGTCTATTTTTGGAACGAAGAAATTCGTTTGCAGGGCTCAGGGCTTGAGAGCCCCATCAGCTTGGAGCTACATGTTTCAGCTTGAAGGCATTGCAACATTGCAGATGCGTGGTTCCATATTCTGATTCAACAGTTTTCAACGTGTATACTCAATATGGATCTCTTGGTACGAGTACTTTTGGACCAACGTAGACCCCCACGGTGCAGGGATATGTTCGCTTTCGACTCGGGAGGCTTGGTGGATTTGATCCTCACAGCGGTCAAAAGCCGGCTTCCCATGTCGAACGCGAGGGGATGAAGCGGGGAGTGATGTGGAATTTTGTGGCATGTGGGTTGAAGCATTTGGCACAGCTGCGCCTCCAAGGGAAAACATCACTGAGCTCATGGGAAATGATCAGTGGTGTGACAACCTTGCCCCTATGGCCAATGGCTCACCATGGCTCACCTGCTCGCCCAGGCCAAGGCTACGGAGAGATGCCTGGCCGACTTACGGAACGAAGCTGCATGATCCTTTGCATGTGCCCTGGCCGCAGCCAGGGAGAGTCAAACAATTTGATCTGTTTTGAGCGAGTGGGCGGGGGGCAACATTACAGAAAATTGATCAATCAGCATGAGTCAATAGGATGATCGAAGAAGGTATGGACAATTGAACAATATTGACAATTGAACACATCAAGTATGCAGTTTTCATGAAATTGGTTTGTCATGCATGGTTTGTCTAAAACGAACCTGCGTTGTTCATCAAAGCGGTTCGGCAGTTGAGGGAACTTGGGGTATTAGACCCAAAGACGTGCTGTCTACCATTCTGCCCAAAAATTGAATGTTCAACACTCCCGTGCATGTGCGTGTGCGCACCCACGAAAGAAGTGGCCACATGAGCTGGACCAGTGTTCTGAGATAAGCTATAGCTAGTTACTAGTTACGATTTCATATAAATCCTGGCGATTCCCCCTGCCTGTTGTAGGTTTGCAGACGATCAGAAGCTGCGGCATGATATTGTGAAAGCTGGCGCATTGGCCATGGCGAAGCAGGCAGGCATCGATTCACGAGCATTTCTGGGCCAGAGTGGGGAGAACGGTCTGAAACACTATATAACCTATATGATTTACAGAGATAGGCCCAACTCGTAGATTCTTGGGGTCCTGCTGTTTCCCATCACCACGCATCACCAGGTTTCCCATGACTTCCCATCCAAAGCTTTGACCTTGACGCCTTGTTTCACGCCCATGGCCGATGCCCGCAGTCAGACCCTGTCCGTTGCCTTGGTGTGTGGGACCACCGCGACCGTATCGGAGGAGATCGGGGAATCGGCCAGGACAAATCCACGACGTTCGCCTCAGGTGATCAGCCGCGCCAAGAATCTGGACGTGCAACGCTGGGGCTGCGAACTCTTGCGCAGCCTTTCGCAAGCCAACTAAGTTAGGCCACGAGGGACGCCAGGACAGAGGGATCGATGAAGCCACAATCTTGGGCGAAGTGGAGCAAAGATGGGCAAGTGATGGCTTTAGTATGTGCGTAGTGGCCGACATTTCCTGGCACATGCATATTGAAATGGCGAGGGATGTTTAGGGGCAAGTGTTTACCTAGCCATAGCATATAATATATACATGCATGAAAGCATTTTTCCGGCCTGGCTCAACAGCGTGGGACACTTCGCTTACTGTGCTTCGGCGTGAAAGCAGCGTTAGTTTCACCTGGTTGCGCAAAGATGTCTCACCAGGCTCACGTGCAAGTGGCGCGGGGCATGGAGAAAGGTTTCTTGAAGCTTGTCGGGGAACGCAAGCAGGGCCCAACGACATGCATGGATCCATGTTCCCCGACGGGTCCGAAGCTAGTCTTCCAATGTTCGGTTGCACAAGATTTGGATGTGTTATTCCGCAATTATATAGTGCTTTTATTCTTACTCGATTTGTGTATATATTTGTCTAGTTTTCCCTTTATTAATCCTTTTTAGAGCAGCAGATCGCACAGAACATCGAAATCTTTGGACACCGAAGCGGTATCGAACTCTTGGGAGAGACGAGCAGAGACCATGTCCCGAAACCCACCAGCCAAGTTTTGCACATTCCAACGGTTGTTGGCCACAATGATGGTGTTTTCACTCCCTTGTGACACCACGCAAAGGTCAATTTGTCTAGCAAGGTCTAGCGGAGAACCTTATAGAGTTCAATTGCAAACTTCAACTCTCAACTATTGAGCATGGGAGACCCAAGTCGTGAACTGATTTTAACCGTCGAGCGAAGGGACTCGTTTCTTTTTTCTGTGGAAACACCATGGTTTGACTGAACAAACTGGGCTCAAGCTGGTTGTCACCAGCTGTGTCTCGCTGTTTAGCTGGTCTTCTCTGAGGAAATTCTCAGTTTCCATGTATCTTGGCGGAGCTCAGCTGTTCGGCATTGAATGACCGACCCATCATGAATCTCTTGGAAGCATCCCTGCATTTTATTGCGTTATTCATGCACACACACACAAATCTGCTTCTGTACTGCAGGATCTATAAACTGTAGACATGACAGGGTTTTCTTCGATTCAGTGGCCTTCAGGTGATGTTTCTGGCCTTTGTGATCTTAGCAACGGCAGAGGTGGGCCCGGGGGGCAGGTTCTTCGGGACTTGCTACGTTCGTTTTTCGGACATGGGTCCCTGGGTCTCGCTATGCTCTGAGGGCACGAGGGGGATGACTTGGAGGTATGGATGACTTGGACTCACCACTAGTCCTCCAATCCTGCTGTCAGGACTACACATGTCCACAGACGGAAGGAACAGGCGAACACATGATGTCTTCTTCGCCTCATTGGCTTTTCTCCTTTGAGCATGAGAAGGCCGACTTTTGCCAGAGAAGTAGCGAACATCACCACAGCGGTGGACGAACAAGTCACCCTCCAACCCTCCAGGGCATCAGGATGTTCCAAGATAACATGTTTTGTTATATATATATATAGATATATTATATTGTGCAGTTGTTTTTCCTAGAAATGCTGCGCCATGCCAGCTGCAAGTGTGGAGCCTTTCTTGTTGGCTGTTTTATTGGTTCTCTACCTATTTCTGTTCTACGCCATTGCCACAAGTCTTTCCTCCATTCTCCTCCAATGGTGTCGGCGACCCGTGTCGGAAGATTTTGATAACTCATCCTGGTTGTTCAGACGGCGTACCTATGTGTACCTCAACACGGTAGCAACCGAGAAACACATCAAGGGAGTTTGCCCAGTGTGCCCCAAAAGAGGAGGTTGGAAGATTTTAGTCCACCGGCTCTGCAACACATCACTTTGGATGGATCAAGTTGATGCTCCTTCTCCTCACCCTTCCAACATGTTCATCTCTTCCATCCTCAGGCAGAGCCGCCATGGTTGGGGCGCTTTCGGAAGGAGTCCACTCTCCCCTCCGCTGGGTCTCTCGCCGTGCCTAGCGAGACAGGCGCATGGGGTTGGGTCAACGGACGGCTGGCAGGTACATGTCTTGCACCAATCATCCACTTGCAAACGATTGGGGTTTGTCACCGCCCAAAGTGTGCTGGCCTCTTTTTGTTTCCAAGAATTGCGTTTTCCATCTAAAAAGTGGAGAGAAACCGTTTAAGTTTAGCTGCCTTTCGTGGCTTGGGAAACTGAAACAGAAGAATTTTGCACGGAACGAGTCCTGCAATATGATACATTGACGAGTCCGGTCCCCGAGCTGCCAGGGTTGGACCTGGCAGAACTTGTTCAGAAGGAGAGTGCACGACTCAGAGAGTTTCTTCCAATGGAGAGGCTTGAGATCCCGGCATGTTGAGGTTCCCAAGAGTTTATGTTCGCATGTTCTGTTTCACCACTCACGGCTTTTACATGGTTTTACTATAATTTTGCTTGACCTCTTCCATGGGCAACATTAATCTAAAGCTCTTCTAAAGCTTTAGAGTTGAGCATGTCAGTGAATATTGAACGCTGAGAGCTGACAGCATTAATCTTGAGCCTTAGCAGGTTCCTGATGTGTTGCTGCTTCTCCAACATTCTTTTGAACGCAATTGACACCTGTGAGAGCAGCCAGAAAACCAGACTTCTCATGTGTGGTTTCCTGCCATGATTCCCGTGCTTGAGGCGACCTTTGGCAGCTCCCAGAGCTCCCAGAGGTGCAGAAGCGATTGGACTTCGATGGTGCTCAACTGAACACCTGCAATCTGGAAGAGGTGCGGGCCCACCCCTGCAGCAGAGGTACCAGGGGTCAGGTGAGGTCGTTGTGAGTTTTCACGCGCTGTTGGGATGGATCAATCGACATGGCTTTGACAGACTTACTGAATTCTGGACGGCGGGGCCTTCTTGGAGCTGGGTCCGTGCAGTTGATCCGCAGACTGGCAGGATCACCTGATCAATCAAGGACACCAGGTCGTGTGTGTGTGTGTGTGTGTGTCAAAACGTGCCAGCTATGTGCCATTACCTTATTCTAGATGCTAGATAGTTTATAGGCAACGTTAGGCAACTACACCAACAAACCAAATCTATGACATTTGTATACCACCGGGTGGCCCATTACCCAGATACTGATACTCCATCTATGGACTATACATGCCAACATTGGATAGATTCCATACGTGGAGTGTTAGGGTTAGAGAATGATCAAGCAGGCTTGAGGGTGGGCATCATCAACCACCTCACGTCCAAACCGTTTGCCACGGTATTTTGCTCCTAACGGCCCTAACGACCCTAACGGCGTTTTAGAGTCTTTCCCAGGCTGACGCGTTCTGGGAGACGCACCCCTTCCGGAAGACCACGAAGACGCGGCAACAGATTCAGGCGGTCCGACCATCTCTGAGGAGTTTGGTTGTGACATTCCTAGTCACTTGGGTGATGTTTGCATATTTTTGCTGCTTTTAGGTGTGCCGTTGGTTGGTGCACTTTGTTGGGAATTGTGTGATTGCTGAACAATTTTGGGCAGTTTTAAGTGTTGCTTTCTTTTGTTTGGTTAAGTTTGTTGCAACTCACAGCTGGGCCTATGGGCCAGTGTCAGCAAGTGTCGAGCCTTGTTCGGCCCAAAGATTGCAACGCGACAAGATCCTCAGAAACCCGGGTTCAGTTCGTGAAGATTCAACTGGCGATGTGACGATGACTATTCCCGACCAGAACATGCTAGAACCAAGACATGCATGCATCAACCAGAGATTTCATCAATTGCCAATGGGATCATCAATTGCCAATGGGACACATCATTTAAAACTACCCACAGGTAGTTGGGAAGCACCCCTTCAGGTCGAAGCTCCCAAACGAATCCTGGTCGCTTTTTGGAGCAACACCGGACCCTTCGCCTTCCTCGAGGGCCATAGACGGGTAGGGCTTCGGAGTCACCCTCTTGGAGGTCTGGTTGGGGAGGAGTCGTCTGGTCGGGGAGGAGACGTCACCCAGGTAGTCGTCAGGAAAAAAGAAGAAGCCCAAACCACCTGAGGTTTTGGTGTTTGGACACTTTGGGGGAGAGTTGCCATGTGGAAAGTTCCATGCGTGTGGTTAGCCACTTCAGTTCTAAATAGTGGGCACTGGAGCGGATGACTCAGACGTCAGAACTGAAGATGAGCATACTTTCAAGATCTTTCAAGATCCCTTCAAAGACAGGAACCACACATTGTGTACATTGTAGTTTGCCCTTCGAAGGCGCAAATTTACAAAACTCATGTCATCTCATGTCTTCGCAAACTTTTTGTACACACGGGTCCCTACCTCAACAAGACCTTACCTCATCAACAGCCTAATTACATGTCCAGCATTCCATCATATTCCATCAACCGTCGATCTCAGTCACTTGTGCAGTGCCCCTGTCCATGCCTTTGGCCGTTCTTCTTCCAACGCGACGGGTCGAAACATGCTCTTCCAGGCCATGCGGGCGATCAAGGAGTTCAAGCGGCTGCTGCCCCACTTGCCCTTGATCCTGGCGCGGTCCGGTCGACCGTTTGGACGGAGCCGAGAAGCTGGCAGAACTGGCCACCAGTGAAAAGGAAAAGGGAACCGGTGGAAACGGAGGCCTGCCTAGGAGGACCGAAGCCGGAGAAGATATGGCAGCCGGCACTTATAGAGTGGAGGGAGGTGGTTGAAATCCAACATGGATTCAGATTGACACACCTAGTTACTAGTTCCCTATATCCTTATATGTTTCTACAATTGGATGGTGCTTGTGCCTACCAGTGCCACCCTTTTGCCCAGCTTTTGCGAGGGGTGGTTTGCTTTTTGTATATTTCCGTAACCTCCAGAAATGATGAAACCAGGGCTGTTCTGTCATTTCCCTATAGGGCCTCACGTATTTCAGAAGATCCAGAAGGTCTGAAAAGACACCAAAAACACACACACACACCAGTGATCTCCCCACCAAACGTCGGCTAGTTGGAGCCCGGGTCCACTGTCACCGGTTTCTTCACCGCAGGTGGGCGACTCGCTACTGGGCTGGAGGCAACAGTGGTTTGGATGTTCTCCAAATCACCGGGGTGGTTTGATGTGGTTTGGATGGTCTCATTTCTCTTCCGTGCGCGAATGCAGTTCAGCTCAAACAGAGGTTGAGTTCGGAGATGAGCATGGGGGAGAGATGGAAGCCAGCTGCTCCAATCTATCACATTGCACCGACTTGGGGAGAAACATTTGTGATTTGGCTTTCAAAAATTCTAAAGGACAGATCAAGGGATATAACAATTACATGAAGTTACTGTACATGTCATTATTGCAGCTTATTCAATTTCTCCAAACACTTACCCAAACATACTGTATCTACTTAAGTGACCCCTCTTCTCTCACACCACTTTCCAGGCGTGGTTGCTTCCTCTCTCCTCGCGCCAATCGTCCGGTGGAAGTGGCGACCTTTGGAAGTTGGGTGGACGACTACGGCCTGGACAATTTGGAGGAGGCCGGTGGCTGTGGGTCAAGAACCCCATTGCACCCTGGTACTCCTCAGCAGTCTCTGCGGATTTTCTGTGGCTAACAAAGGGCCAGCGTTTGCGAGGGAGCGACTGACGGCCGCCGGGGGGATCCATTGTAAGCAGGGAGCCGTTCGGAGCTACAAGGAGCCCCCCTTGCTAGCCAGGGCCATTTTTTTGTCGCATGTGGTGGGTTTTTTGACCTGAAGCCGATCTGTTTAGGTCTTAACGCTGTGGAGTTTGGTGTGGTGGGTGAAGCTGCGCGGCGGACCAGGGTCCCCTCTAGACTTGTTTCGAATTCATTTAATATTTGCTTTGTACTTTATAGGTCACGATTGCGAATTCATTCGCATTCATTCGCCCAAAGTCGAGCTTTGATGTGCCTTGCTGCTGAATTTACGGCAGCAATTTGGGTTGGCTAAGTCGGATCCAAAAGAAACATCCCCGGGCCAAAGGCAGTCTTTGCTCCCAGGCCTTGCAGGCTGAGGGCCATCAACTGGACCAGTCTGAATGCTTGCAGGGTCCGCTGATGGCTGGCTGTAGGCGGGACGGGTGGCTGTACGCGCACGGTGTCCTGGGACTTGGATGTGGCGGAGTCGGTGGATTGAAAGAGAGAAAGATGAGGTTGGTTGCTTCAAGGGTAAGGAGCCAGAGCTCCCAGGAGCAGAGCTGGAGAGAAGGAGCCTATAAATATCTATGAATGCAAGGGAGAAGATAGGGTAGGTGTATGCCGTGTATGCTTTCACAGGCTTGTGAAGAGAAGGCAGGCACGCAGGCCGAACAATAACTCAACAAAACCACTCTAAGTATCTCTAAGTATTATATATATATATATACTTATATATAGTTGAGCGCCCGGCGTAGATCTTTCTCTTGTACGTGTTGGTCTTCGGAGGGATCTCCGCAAGAGATCAACAACCAGCTTGCATAGTCGATAGTGTTCAACTTTTGGGCTTGATTGAACCTGGTTTTGTCACAACAAACGCAAAGACAGATCATCTTGAATATCACATGAAACCAATTATGGCAGTAAAGAAGATCATATGACGACAGTTCTGACGACCTATGAGCCAGCAGGTCAGCGTTTGGTTTTCCAGGTCTTTGGTTCTCAGTCGTTGCTCTTCCCTCCGCTCTCTCCAGGCTCCGTGCAAAGCTGAAGGATTCCTCGAGTGGCGCCACTGCCACCATCCGCCTGGGCATGTTGCTGTCGCCGCCACCGGCTGCTCAGCTGCAGCGGGGTGCGGGGCCGGACAGCGGCTTCCACTCGGTCCACCAGCCGACCAGGTGAAGGCTGGTGGCCGTTGGTTGCTGCTCTCAGGAAAGTCAAGTGTGCAGTGTTTTCCATGTTGGTATCATGTCCTTGGTGTTTTTGGTTGCAGTGCTCACATACTGTGATTCCACAAAGATGAGGATAGAAAATACAGTAGCAGAGAGAGAGAGAGAGGTCCCTGTACCAAAATGTAGCAAAAAAGAAGTGGGGCTTTGTGCTGATGTAGGCATGGCAAGGTTCTGAAGGCAAAAAGCACCAGGCGAGGTCCTTTGCATATAACCCAAAGTTGTTCACGCAAGAACAAGGCCCGATTTTGCACTTTTGACATGGTTTGTGGCAGGTGGGGGGTGGGGGGGGACCTGCCACTGGTCAGAGACTACTTTGGAGTACCAGCTGTATTGCAAACATGTGTTCTTGATGGAGTGCTCTATTCGCACCTTAGGCGCCCAAACATTCCGTTGGGGGGCACCATTTATATATGGCGAATTTATGGTGTCACGTTTGCACTTCACCGCGTCCTTCTTTGCGCCGTTCGCGCGTTCGTCCCTTTCGCGCAGTCTTCGTCCCAGGTGGCCCAACATCCAGGACTCTTTCCTCGTTGCCTCGCGGCGTGCGGCGACAGCTGTGAGCGCTGTGTTCTGGCGTGGGCGGTGGAGGCTGGATTCCGTCTTCGGTGGAGGACTGACTTCCCGTCCCAAGGGCTCACAAGAACCGAAGCTCTGGTCGGGCATGTGGATCCATGATATAGAAGGTTCTTGTTGAAGGTGTGCACTGGTTACAAGTGTTTTTGCATGTGTTTAGGTGGCAAGGCAATATCCAAGCTTCAGATGTTCGACCATTAACAATCCACAGCTGGTGCATTAAATGTATACAGCTGGTGCACCAACCGGTGTCATCTTTGCTTAGTATGGAGGACCATGTGCACAAACAGGTCCAAAACGCCTGGACCCGGTCAGAAGCACCGGCTCTTTGGATCTACAGCATTTATGCTCGAGGTGTTTTTCGGGCCGCATGCAGATGAGTCTCATTCCGGAAAGTCGTGGACACATGCAGGAAGCGACCAACAGACAGAGTGAGTAGGAGCATGTAGGAACATTGGACCGCACAGAGAGGGTACAATTAATGCTGCGCATCTCAGAAACTGGTGGCCGCCATACCTCCTTGAAACATCCACTTGCCATGATGGCTCCTTTGAGCATTTCCATGCCCAAGAAGCCTCAGCTCTTGAACGAAACTTCTTTGGCTGAGTTGCCAAGCCCCATGACGCTCGCATGTTATGACGGCTTTTAGGCGGTCATGTGCGGTCTTGGGTGGGGAATATATGTGACTGCCTTCATTCCCAGATGCTGGGATAGGATTGTTAAGTATTGTTAAGGCTGCTAAGATTGCTAAGGATTTGTTCCCAATGGGCTCGTGCAGAGGTGCACCGCAACCAATTTGATCAATGGTTCTTCTCGCTTTGGAGATTTTTCCCTAAAGGACCTCGCCGAATCCAATTCGAACCTTGGTCACCTGGTCCATTGGACTGGATCCAAAACGACGGGCCGTATGCCAGACTGAGGAAGCCCGAAGTGGAGATTCTGGATGATATGCCCGGCTGGCATGAGGAAGCGCAGCCCGAGACAGGCAAGCGAAGATTGGGGGATACAAATCAGGCAAGAAAGGGGGTGTTGTATATATTTAATGAATGAAAACTATTGGCATAGTAATTAGTAGATGCAACATGATGCACATAAAGCTATTTTTCTAGGGGTTTTGATCAATCAACAGTGCACACTGCTGATTAGTCCACTTTCAGGTAGGAAGAGGAACTTCCCCAAAGGTGGAGGACACAAAACTGGCACTGAAAAATGGTCCCGTTCCATCTCACTTCACCCGTTGCATCCCGTTCTAAAGCCACTCGCTCTTGGCGGGATGGTTTGGCTTGGTTTTGGGCACTCAGCTCAATGGAACTGGTGGAGCACTGACCGTCTTTGATTCCAAACCCCGCATCCTGGGGGCTTGACATATCAGCTGAGACCGTTCGGTGCCTGGTCTCTTGGGTCTGTCCCATTACCCGTAAAGAATCAGTGAACAATTAGTATTTTTGAGAAAGGCTTGCAACTGAACCATCATCACTGTTACTGGGGTAGACCCAAATCATCCGAAACGGGAGGACTGTTTGTTTTCACGTGGCAACTCTTTGTGCCATGCCTGGAACCATTGGGCTTCGTTTCGGTTTGGTCGTGTCCGGTCTCCGAATCAGCGAGAGCTTTGGTCGGGAACGGTGCGGTCCGAAAACGGTGGCAGCCGAAAGTGCCCATGCTTCAATGCTCATGAAGTCCTCGGACATTGCTGTTTACAATTGGCTTATTTGATTCTGCGCTCGCCGCTTCGGAGACCACTGAAGTTCAGAGAGACACGCATGCAATTTGTGGGGTGGTGCAGTGAGCGCCAGGCAAACAGCCCTATAGACACCTTAGTTCATTTCGGATCCTCACGCTGAGCGCATGTTGCACCATCTCCTCGGCACACGCCTGCCGAGTTCAACCTTTTCTTGATAAAGGATGCCCTAATTATGGATCCATATCCTCAGGATCCCTCAGGAGGGTCTAGTGTCCAGTGCGACTGTACCTTCTGAGAGTGTACTGTATATGGACCCATAGGAAACGGTCATTGGAGCATTCTTCGCAACTGTGCTTCTCGAAGTGGAACTGAGGTGCTCTCAAGCCCCGACGAGCCAAGCGGCTTCAGGCTCGGCACAGCCGATTGATGGCCTTCATGAGAAAGTACCACTTTACGGATGTGGCATCTCCAGGCGCGGTGAAGGAAGGGATGAGATTGGGTCATACACAGTGATTTCAGAGTAGATGGCACAAGCCCCTATATGTGATTTAGATGGGGGTCCTTGTAAACCACCTTTTGGGGATTGTGCCATCTACTCTGAAACCATTGTAATATATATGTATATAATATGAAGTCCTGGAATTTCTCCTCTCATTTCTTCCTGAAGAACCAAAGCCACGGCCAGCCATGGGGCCCTAGTGAAGATTGGCGGAGGTCTCGGGAACCTTTGGGCGAAACTAGCTCAACCTCCAGCCCCCACTGAGCCTCGTTTCTCAGAAAAGACACGACCTTTGACATCCACTGGCCAAATCCCAGTATATAATTACACTTTTGGTGCAGATGCTTTCGTTCACCGCTTCCACCCTTCACCGATATGGATGCCTCGCAGCTCTTGCGAGGCCTCACCGACGCCTATCCCATCCACTTTGCCGCGAGCTTAGGCGCTCGGTTACCGGTGGATCTCCGGCTTTAAATGATCAAAAAGGGTGCACTTTCTGACATTCGCCAGAAACCATATCCAAAGCCTTAGTGAGGCAAGTGAGGGTATATAGAGTATACATATAGAGATATATGATGTATAGAGTATCTCAGAATCTTGAATGAACACTGATTGTGATTTGCTAAATTTAGACTTCTTGACACTACCACGCACACTTGTTCACATCCCCGAAGATGCGAACCCGATGTTGACTCCAAATCAGATGGTCGAAACGAGGTGTCTTGTACCTTAGGGAAGATGGACTTCCCATAGATCGAACAACACGCCTCCCCCAACATAGTGCACACCTGGAAGGAGGAGTTGTAGGTCGGTCCTGATTGGTCCCGATTCCACTTTGGAGTCTCTCAAGGTCCTGGCCCTTCCTGCGCTGCGTGCGCAGGAGATGCTCGAGTGCTGCGTGCGCTGATGATGGCCGGCGCCGATCCGGAACAGCCACTTGCAGCTGGGTAGTTTTGGACAACGTCGCATGACGTGCCATACCCTGGACTGCAATACGTATGGTCTTATGTTCGATTATGTTCCCGAAAATGTTCTTCTTCTAGTTACTGTCCTATAATCAATGTGCTGTATGGGATGTTTTTTCGAAGCAGACACTCCAAAACATTCCTGGAAAGAGCAGCAGTTGGCCCAAAACTCCTTAGTTGTGGGCCTCACTCAAGTACAAAATCAGGGTGGGAGGTTCCGGCGCTGCACCCTTTGCCGATCCCATCCGCTTTTTCGTTGACCCCGTGGGCTCCCTTCACCTCTCTTTCATTGACTGAGTCACGGTGAAACCGGCCTCGCGGCCGTCCCTCCCTCCTCGTCCCTCCCTCCTCGCTGCTCAGGAAGACGACCAAAGGCTATACGCCTTTGGACTACGCTCGTGAAGCGGAAGTCGACGGATCTCACGACATGGCGCCTCGAGCATCGGCGCGAACTCGTCCGAGTCGGGCATCGCTTGGACATCGGGCTGAGACACGAAAGAGGCTCATGGTGGTACGAGATCAATATATCACGTTTCATGGCTTGTTCATGTGTTTTGTGTTTGTTTGGAGGTTTGTTTGGAGGTCTGTGAAAGTTCAACATGTCATGTGTACCACTGACCCCCCCAAATGGGCCTTTCGACTTTCGACAGCATTACCGAGGGAGCACATTCTTTAGCATTAGCTGAGTGAAGGGTTTCTTTCTGGGATGAAGAAACCCTAGAATCCTAGAAGTCCAAAGACGGCACCACCAAAGCAAAGGACATTCCTTTCGGATCACCCAAAGACCATTCATTGAATAGTCTTGGACTTCCAGGGGGAACTTCAGACTTTTGCTGTTCAGCCATGTTCAGCCCATCCTGGGCTCGAGCTCCTTCGAGCGCCAAAGCTGTTGAATAGTAACAAAGAAGATATTAGAAGACTTGGCTGTGAATCCGTTGAGATCCGTTGAGCTCCAAAAGGTTGCTTCTATATAGTTTCCAAGGAATGGGTTGAACATGGTTGAACACCCAGCACTCTTTTAGAAACTCGTGGTGGGCGATTTTAGGCCTCGTTCTTGGATTCACCATGATTCACCTATTAGGCATCCAAGCATGACCTCTTCTGCGACAGCACGAACACGGCTAGGTGATCGATCTTCTGGAAAACAAGGTCAAGATAGTGACAATGCGTGGCTTCTGCGACATGGTGGCTGGAACCCGAGAAGTCCTTTTCGGCGACATCGTCCGCCAAGTGACCTCGGACTCAGCCATAGACTCCAACGAGTCTATCATCGAAAGCAAGTAGCTGCTTTCTGCCAAGGGGCCGTAATTGTTCCGCAAAGATGCCACTGAGCCAAAGGATCATGGCCAATCTTTGCAAGCGTTGAACATGTATCACATGATCACACGGTTTCAGCTCGAACGACGAAGATGTTCTTGCCTAAGCGGTTGCTTTTTTGTTGCAACAGGGTGCTTGAAGGCCCCAGATGCGGTACTGCGTGTTGTGCCCAGGGCAGGCAAATAGGTGTTCTTCGGTGCCTTTCGCTGGGGGGTTCCTTCCCCCAGCAGAGATCATTGGAGTTCTTGTTCTCGGCGCAGAAAAAGACCCAGATTTCGCAGACAGTTGCGAAAATCATTCCTAGTTTTAGTAAATGCCACAAAGACTTGGCTAGCTCCGGCCCACTCAACAGGTTGAGCAATGTTAGAAATCAGAGAAACCCAAACAGTCTGAATTCAGTGTCCTTGTCATTTCCCTTCCTATTTGTATGGTTTTATGCTTTGTTTGCACAATTCCTGGGCCAATACCGCCTTCCTTGATATATTTTTTTGGGGTCAGACGAGGCCATCCGAGAAAAACACATCGTCCCCTAAGTATGGAGCAAGGGCCAGATTTCATCGTAGAGTACTGGGTGCCACCCCCAGAGTCCACTGCTGACAGGGATCCACATCAACTAAGCGGACGCTAAATCCTGCGGATGTGATCTAGATATTATCCGATGCTTAGAAAGCGAACCGTGCGAAAGTGGGAGCACGATAGCAAGGGCACAAGAATGCAAAAAAGAGGACAAATAAGAGTAAAGAACGTGCACCAAGTTGCGTACTGTACATAGTCTCAACTTGGTTTGTTTTCGCACTAGATTACTGTACTTCTCTCAGAGGATTTTCCAGGACTAGGGCTGCAGTCATTGGGGCGTTTGGGGGTTTGATCTTTTGAGCTTCCCAAAAGTCCAGACTCCAAGTAGATCCAACTAGCAGTCATGGTGCCAGATTCGCCACCTTAGGGGTTGTGGAAACCAAAAGCCACTCTTCGAGCGGTATGTGGTGGTGAAGCCTCACTCCAGCACTCCATCTCACTCCCATCACAACATATCAGTTACCAGAAGATGAAGATGAGTCAAAAAGGTCTTGTATCCTATAGTATCCTGATGTAGCTAGAATCAAGCCCATCAGCTCATCTTCCATGGGCCTCCAACATATGAGAACATGGTCTCGCTAGCCTCCAAAACCCACCCATGGTCGGACCCCGAGGGCCAGCGCCCGTTCCAGATCGGGACCCAGCAAAGAACCCTCTAGGAATCGTGCTGCAAAGTTCTATAATTTTTACTTATTCCATTATAGTCCAATCCCACAGTGTTGGGATCCAAGATCACTCGAGACCCAGAGTCTTTTATCATCTCCACTTCCCCCCTATGACACCCGAGACCGCCTTCGTCTTCATGTGGCATTTGCTTTCTCGCAAAGACTGGATGAGTTTCGCTTCGATCCTTGCCAGTTGCGTACCTTGTTGGTGCGCTGCCTTTCCATGCTGAGTGCTCATACCTCGTTTTGTTCCGCAAATTCACTCAATTCACTCCTTGGAAAAGTCGCTCAGGTTCGATCCGTTGGAAGACATAGGTTCTGCACCCCTTTCACCCTAAGAGGCAGCAAGAACATTTGGATGCATATGTTTTGGCAAGCATTTGTAAGAGATTCCATCCATTCGACTTGCATGTGCGCAGCTTGTAAGACAAGAGTCTGCAGTTCTACAGGGAAGACACAACACGTAAATGAGCTATATAATACTATATATGTTTGATTCTGTTTGCTGTGTAACGGTGTAATGGTTATCATCTCGCTTTGTGAGGAAAACCCCCAGGCCGATCGAGCGAGAAAGCGGGGAGAACGAATGACGCACCATGTTCGGACAGCGTCTTGCCGCGGCACTACAAAGATGGATCGGCCATCACCGCTGGAGAATGAAGCTGGTTAAACTAAAATCACCTATTTCGATCCTTGTTCTTCTCGGGAGCATTTCGGGGATATTTTCGCGGGCGTGTTGTTTTGATGTGCGAACGAGAGATTGAGCAATCGGCACAGCATGAATGTTGTAAAGAGGTTGTAAAGATTTGCAGGTCAAGCCCTTAGTGGCTACCTAGCAGCTCTCCTCCGATTTTGACCACCCAGCGATAGCCCTGTAAAGAAGCTTTTTAAAACTCTTCAGGCAGCTCGGGCCAGCAGGAAGACGTGGCGGGTCATGTTACTCAAAGGATGGGACAGGATCACTTCAGAACTACGAGGACTCTTCACGGCTGAACAAGGTCATAATTGAAGGGTGGGACAAGATCACATTGCGGCTACTGCCGGAGGATTCTTGAAGGCTGGGACTACAAAGGAGGGCCCTGCACGGGTCAGAATGGTCATTCACATCACCAACTAGGAGGAGTCTTCACGTTTGAGAATGCTTGAGCATTGTGGCTCTATCTTATGTTCATGAATTTTTGATTGTATGACTTCACCACCTAAAAAGCCTCTATCTAAGACTTGGTACCACTTCCAAGAGCTGGCTCATGTGATGTGGATTCCTTTATCTACGGCCAAGTGCCTACTTCAACGCATCGTGTCATCCTTTTGCTCTATGCTTTATGTTTCGTGGCGGAGCTGGACAGTCTTGGCGTGGCTGGTGGGCCGCGTCTTCCGGGGCCGAGTGGCGGAGCTGAGATGAGTCGAGGTGTTTTGTGCGACCGGCCCAGCCTACCTCCAACTGTGCCTGAATGAAGAGCTGAGGTATGACATGCCTGCCATCCAGGGGGAGGCACGGCACCTTTTCATCTTTTGTCTTTCTGCCAGCTGTGTGCCTTGACAGCTGGATTGTTCTTCCGAACGGCCCCCGTCGAATTCTGCAGTTTGCAGGCCATATTTTTAAAGCCGCCAGGCTTTGAAGGTGTGTGAAGTGCTTGCATAGGGAGACTTGAGCATTATGTTTATCTTCGAGGTGTATTCAGCAGAAGTGCCCTCATGTGGCCCACACCTTCACAACAAGCCGGGCATTGCATTCAAGCGACAGTCTCAGGGTTTGAACTCGCTGCCTTGTAAAGGTCTTCAGCCTTGTTTTCAAGATCAAACCTGGCTGCCTGGGCAATGTTGGGGCTTGGGTCCGAAGGTTCTCATTGGTTTCCTTCGTGATTCTTTGGGTTCACATCTACAGGACTGGGCTTCACATCCTTCACATTCAACTAAGTACAATGATCCTCAAAGAGATAGAAGAAACGGTTTCCTTTTTTAGTGGGGATCGACTTTTCTATCTACTTGGCAACCACTATAGAAGGTTCCCTGTGCCTGTCCAGCCGTGCCTGTCTCGTTTCATCAGGATCGCTTGTTCCAGTACTTCGGTCGTATTCCAACCTCGACGTTGGGACAGATCCTGCGACTGTGGCCTGACGTTCACTTTTTTCCATTCTTTTCCAACCAGGTCGAAGAAATCCGTCGTTGACCCGTGATCGCTTTGCTTCCAAGTCAGAACATATCAGTATCAGAACATCAAACCTGTGGTGGACATCATTGTACACCCCTTCCCTATAAACCAATTATAAAATAGATGAGTTCACATTGGGGTCAACCAAAGAAGGCATAGCTGGCATAGCTGCAGATGGGAAGCACATTTTCCAGACCTCCTGCGCTTCCCAAAGTCCCGTAGACAGACTGAACGTCGACTGGGGAGCTCTGAACTCTTGGAAGCAAACCACACCTGAGCTTGTAGACAGAGGCAAGTTTTGAAATCTTTCTGCCGCCGATTGGTGATTTACCAGGGCTCAGACTGAGCCAGGGCAGAGAGTCCTTGGAAGAAATGTGAAGAAACAATGGCCTGTGCTAGTGCCTGTGCTGTATGTTTTGATGCCATCCATTCCATGAAGCAACGTCTTGCGTTTGGGCACTTCACAAGCAGAAAGTCGGAGTTGGAGTTGGGTGCAGATCAGATGACTGGGGGATGTGATGCGAAAACCATCAGAGGAAACGTCAATTTAGAGCTTAGGCCTTGCCATTTCAAAAGTACGGGCTTGGTGGTGGAAGATTTGAATTGTTCATGGGGGTCCGCGTAGCGGGGAAAGTTGGGGCCCAAAGGCGCACGGTATGTATGTAGCAATCCTTTCCACATGAAAACACACGAGCGCCCCCCCCAAAAAACATGTATTATACTGTTTAAATAGGGGGAACCCGCAAAGAAGATGGAAACCTGGGAATTGCTTCAACAATGAACAGTCGCTTAGGAACATTGATATATAATCCTTTATTTTTAACGCCTATGAAAAATTAGAGATAATATATGATCGAAGGTTCCGTTTGCAACAACCCTTTATTGACGTATAATTTGATTCTTCGATATTCTTCACTTGCAAACTCTTCGGCTAACTAATAAACATTTCGAAAGGTGATGTCGCTGTGCCATGCGGTTTTGCGCGGCCTCGGCGGGAAGTGTAAATGGGGCGTGGCGCTAGTCAGGGGCACGATTGGTGGTGTTTCTAGTGGGTGGGTGGACAGCCAGGGCGGGCAGAGGTGGAATGAGGTGGACAGTTAGGGTTGCTTTCAGAACCTAATCTTAAAAAGATGCCTCAAATCGCCCATGTTGTTGGTTTAGTAGTAGGTTATTAAGAAGGCGGCAGTTTTAAAAAAGCAACATACAAAGACTACCCGGACCCTATTGATGGGTTTCCAGATGTTTGCTGCATGTGTGTTAGTCCGGTAACGTTGTTGAAAACGTATTCGGGCTTATACCGTATATATATATATATTCCACGTTTCTCTAGCAATCGCGAACTGGCACAAAGCAACAGGCAAGGTATGTTGTCACTTTGTTGCAAGTCTTGTTCGTTTAAGTGTTCTATCGGAAGTGGGGTAGCTCTTAGATATGTGACTAGCTTGCCGTGTTTAAACAACGAAAGGAGCAGCACTAGCAGCACAGGGGTGTATGGCGAATGTGTATAAAAATCATTGCCATCTCTTTCCGCATGACCTTTTTAAGCTGTCGCAGGGATTCGAACCAAAGATCAGACCCAAAGCAGCTGCAGTGTGGCATTGGATAACAGTCTTGGAAGTTGTTGCACAAACCACAGAAGAGCATCATGAAGTCTTATTGTTTCAGATCACGTG